AAAGATTCCTTTCAAAGTCCTGCTGCTCCTGACAAGGCGCCTGGTCACCCCAGAGCCCCGCCAGGGATGGACGCGGAGATTTGTGTTGTGTTCGTGCCGCTAGCACAGCATCCGTTCTGCGGCCCACAAATCAGGAGTTAACTTTTGACTCGCAAGTCTTCTTACTTAGGAAATACATTTTGTAAGGATACAGCTTCGGGGCACCTGGGGGGCTCAGTCAGTCGCGTGTCCGACTTTGGCTCGGGTCGCGACCTCGCGGTTGGTGATTTCAAGCCCCACGTCGGCTCCCCACATCCGTCAGCACAGAGCCTGCCGCAGATCCTCCGTCCCCCTCGCTCTGACCCTCCCCCGCTTGCACTCTCCCAAAAAATAAATACGTATGTTTTTTAAAAAAGGTTTTAATTAAAAAAAAAAAGGATATAGCTTCCATAGACAGGAAGTCCTCGGACGGATCCGCGCAAAGTTGAAAACCTTCTGGAAAGCAGTCACTGTTCTAGATGCCACGAAGGACCCCTGTGATTTCGTGGGAAGAGGTTGAAACGTTAACACCGACAACAGTTTGGAAGAAGTGGATCCGACCCTCGTGGAGGACTTTGAGGGGCTCAGGACAGCCGCGGAGGACGGCCCCACGGAGGTGGTGGGGACCAGAGGGCCGGGATCAGAAGCGGAGCCTGACGACGGGACCGAACTGCTGTCATCTCAGGATAAAGCTGACGGGCGAGGAGGTGCTGCTCGGGGAGGAGCAGAGAACGTGCTTTCTGGGGGTGGAAGCTCCTCCTGGTGAGGATGCCGTGGAGATTGTTGGAAGGACAACAGAGGATTTAGAATATTCCAGAACCCTAGTTGGTAAGGCGGCGGCAAGGCTTGGAGGACGGTCCCCACTTGGAAAGGAAGTTCTGTGGGTAAAATGCTGTCAAACAGTGTCACCTGCTCCAGAGAAATCGTTCGTGAAAGGAAGGGTCAGTAGATGTGGTTAGCATGTTTTAGCAATAAAGTATTTTTTTTTAAAGTGTATCTGATAGCGAGTGGGGGAGGGGCACAGAGAATCTCAAGCAGGCTCCGTGCTGTCAGTGCAGAGCCCGTCATGGGGCTCGAACCCACAAACCGTGAGTTGATGACCTGTGCTGAAACCAAGAGTCAGCGCTTAACTAACCGAGCCACTCAGGTGCCCCAGCAATAGAATAGTTTTTAATTCAAGCGTTTTAAACACAACGCTGTTTATTGATGCGTTACAGCGTAGTATAAACGTAACTTTTAGAGCCCCTAGGGAACCAAAAATTCATTTGACTCACTTTATTGTGATTTTTGCTTTGTTGCGGCGGTCTGGAACAAACCTGCAGTGTCTCTGAGGTACGCCTATAATTCTGCCTTCTAAGCTTCAGGTTCCTCGTCTGTACAAGCTTCTTTCTACCTTGCATTTTCAGTGGAGCTTTCCTGCAGCAGGTATTTCCTGAATGTCTAATGGTGCCCGTTACTGTTCAAGCACGTATGTAATCCTTGTATCCACCGTGGGAGGTGGGTGTTAGTCTGCAGCTTTTCCAGCCAAGGAGTGGGTTTCGGGAGGCTAAATGCTTTGTGCCAGGGCCGTGGACACTGTTCACAGGGCAGTTGTGTGGATGCTTCATTTCCCCACCTGTGCGTCCTGCCTTCTACCAAGTCCTGGAGACCCCACGGGAAGCACACAGCCGTGGCCTCCGTCCCTCACGGAGCCTGGCGTCCAGTGAGAAGAGGCAGGGATTTCTAATGTTTAGGACAGGAGGGCAGATTGATACAGTATTCTGTTGATTGAATTGGCTCCGTTTTAAATGACAGTCATTAGCGGCAGGGCACAGAGTGCCTGCTGGCGAGGGACATCCAGACCGCCCAGCACTTGGGCAGCTGAGACCCAGGACCGTTCAAGTGTTTAAACCCTCTGACTCAGTAGTGTTTTTTTTTTTGGAAATCTGTCCAGGGAAATAATCAGGGATTTAGTCAAATGTTTGTATACAGAGGTGTTCATCAACAACTGTTTATACAATTGAAATTTGAAGATTGCCCCACCATGTAACAGAACTCCTCATTTTTCTTGACACTTTTGTGCTACTGACTTAGTACTTTGCCAGTGGTAATTGAATTAGTCCTCCCATCATGCCTGGGCAGTGGGTACTATTCCTGCCCCGTTTTGCAGCTGAAGAAATTGAGGTCCAGGCCACACAGCTCAAAAGGGTTGGAGCCTGATCCGAACCCAGGGAACCAGATGCCAGAGCCCGTGTGCCTCACTGTCACGTGTTTATGACTGCCTTCATGCTGGGGGATGCTGTGCAGCCTTTTAACGTGGTTTTTACCGGTTTCCACTATGTAACGTCGTACAGAGGCTACAACATTTTATGGCCTGGTTCGTTTTTGTAAACATATGTTCATAAGAAGGGGGAGACAGAGCTCATTTCTTCCTCGCCCCACACCCCACAAGTGCTTATAGGTTGTGTCCTCGGTGCTGGGTCCTTGCAGGTGCAGGGTGTACAGACACACAAATGACATATCGAGACGTCCTCTTTCGAATGAGGGAAGTCATTGCCGCACGATCCCTGCCAAATAGAGGGTATCTGTTGACCAAGAACTGAGCAGTCCTGTCGGGGGAAGCCAAAGGCGACGACCCCGAGAAGGGGTATGTGGCCAGAGCGCGCAGACAGAGGGAGGCAGGGTAGAGGCCACTGCACAGACTGGTCTTCGTGGGGAACAAACCTTCTCCCGAGCTCGGCCAGGATGGCACGAAACCTACTCTGTTTAGTGTGGGATTCACGAGATTTGCGTACTCTTACGTATGCTAAATCCAGATTGATCCATCTGGTTTCTGTATCATGGATGCGTTGGGTGGGGGAAGGGGAGTGACGTGTGACTGGACTGTTTGCTGCTTTGGGGGTACAGCCAAGTGCACGTAAACCTTGCTCTGCCAGGACGCAGGAAGGGGTTCTTGTTCTTTTCCACTCTGGGCTGGAGTTCTCTCTGCCGGGAAGAAAACTCTGTGCTACTGGGAAGAGAGGGGAATTGCGGACTTCACCGTGCTGCGCGGGGCTTCTGCACACTCCTGTGTGCTGTGCGCATGTGGAGAGAGGGGCTTTGCCGGGGCAACGGACCTGGGTTTGTCATCACCGGGTTTGAGGATTTTTCTGAAACTGGGGAACTTGCGACTCTTCTCGTTCAGACGACAACGTGTCATAAGAGAAAGGGACTTAATACAGAATATGTCCGTGATTTTCAAAGCAAGGATGAAACTGTCTGATTTTGTTTCCTTTGCCATAGAAACCTGACGTGCGGCTCTCTCGAGGCAGCATCGACAGGGAGGACGGGAGTCTTCAGGGCCCGGTAAGCAGCTGCTGGGTTTTCGCCAGGAAAACTCGGGAGATATGCATGCTGTCGCTGCACATAAGCTGTCGTTCGCTAGTTCTGCCCTCTTGGTGCATGGTTCTAGTTTCCACAGCAAGGCTTTTTTCTTGTGTCTGCTTTGAGGGGCAATGCCTAAATTCTCTTTAAAGAGCTGGTTTACGATTACCCCAAATGTACTTAAAGCCTGCTGGAAATATTCCCCTGATCTTTTAGGGAGAACGGGTCAAATGGTTTTATTTCCATCAGCAGGTATCTGAGCAAAATAAAAGCAGATTTCTTTAAACAGTCAAAGAAGTTCCCAGTACAACAGAGAAACCTGTGCCTGCCGGGTGACAGACCTATGGATATGCACCCTAATAAGGCTTCTCCAATCTGTACCGTGAGATCCAGCTGCCCCTGACACTTGGCCCCTACAGGATGTGCTCAGTCACCAGCGTGGGAAGATTGGACATTTCCCATCAGAATGTGCTGGCGCAGCGGGCTCTGTGGGCAGAATATTGGACGTTGCTGATTCACGAGCAGCAAGTCACACGACCAGTTACTCGGCACACAGGTCTCCTTCCGTAGAGTGGAAAGCTTAACAAGTGACAGGCAGTCTGTCTTAAGTTGGTAAGGCTGAGGATCAGCACGCACGTCAACCCCTTTCAAGGAAGCGGCTATTGAGAACACCACTAGTAGGAAATTTTGATAGAAAAGGGAACTGTGTGTGTTCCAGCACGGGGCATATAGCAGGCCCCCAGACGGTGCGTGGAGTGGGCACATAAGGGAGGGAGCTGCGCCTGGATCTTAGAAGGGTTCTCCAGAAACACCCTGTGGAATGGACGGCGCGGGACAGGTCCACTGGCGGTCCCGGAGCATTTGCTGGGCCCAGGTGCTTAGTACCGATGAGAAGGAGCCGTGCCGAGTGCCGTCCTCAGGCCCCCTCCCTGAGGCCTCAGCTCTCCTGTAGTCAGGACTGGTGCCACGCACCCCACAGAGGAGTAAACCGAGGCTCCTAGAAAACCAGGCCATGGTCACCTGTCGCGGTGCCAGATGCCAGACTGCGCACTTGCCAACATGATGGCTCACTTCAAGGGGTGCAGTTCAGGTCGTGGTCGCTTCCCGCGGTGGGGCTGAGAACACTCGCGACCATGGCGGTGTTCCGTCTCCCGTCAGCCCTTCGCTAGAGACGACAATCTGGTTTGGCCCACCTCTTGAAACGCTCCAACCTAACACTTTGGAAAATGCACCATGGTTTCAGGGAGAACTCTTCGGCTGGAAGACTGAGATTGTAAGGAGGAATGAGACAGTGAAGAAACACTGATAACTGGCCAGTGGAAATCGACCCCGTCAGTGTGCATAGAAAGTAGAAAGTGTTTGGCTTTTCAAAATAATACACAGGCTGACAGCATGTTCCTTTTGTGACAACTCTGTGTTAGGTAAATGTTACCAGCCTCAGTTAACAAACCGGAAACGCAAAGCCCCAGACAGTTGAATGACTCCTCCGAGGCCCAGGGCCCGTGGCTGGATACGCGGCACAGCCAGAGCACAGCCTGGCCACGGGCTCGTCCATAGGACTTGCGAAGGCAGAGACTTTGCTGAGCCTCCCCTCCCAGAGCCAACCTGTGGGATTGCCTAGCACAGTGCATGGTACATAGATTTGTTGAATTAACCCAGAATGCTCTTAGAATAGAATTTTCTAGTTAATTGGACTTTCCTTGCTACCTGAGTATCAACCAGAAAATTCTGTGTTTTAACTCTTTTTAAGTATGTGTATTTTACTGCCTGGATCGGGAAACACAACACAACTCACAGACTGTGTCCACTTTTAGAGTTTTGGCCACGTTTCCTGCATTTTTCCGCCATCGCTCATCCTCTGGCTCCCTTGGCTGCCTGGTTCTTCACGTGCTGTTTGCCCCTGCTGGGGGATCCCCTGTCTCTGGGTCACACCCCTCCCAGAGTTCTTCACGGCTTCCCCCACCCCAAGTCTGTGCTCACAGATCACATTCTCAGAAGGCCTGATCTTCCTACTGAAACCTGCGGTGTCCTTCCCTCCCCCCTCCCCTCTCCCCCCCGCCCCCGTCCTCCTCTCCCTTTTCCACCGGGCTTGGCAATGTGCTGTCATGTGCACCTGCTGTTACTATCTTGCTCCCTGGGTTACATTTACACTGTCTGCTTCACAAGGGGGGGGGGTGGGGCTCGTTTTGTGCCTGGAGCAGAGCCGTTCAGTAACTGTCAAGTAAATGATAGGTTAGAGGTGCCTGGGTGGCTCAGTCGTTTGAGCATCTGACACAGCTTCAGCTCAGGTCATGATCTCATGGTTCGTGAGTTCGAGCCCCTGCACCGGGCTCTGCGCTGACAGCAAGGCGCCTGTTTAGGAACCCCCCCCGCCCCTCCCCCACTTGTGCCTGCTCTCTCTCAAAATAAATACACATTTAAAAATAAATAGGTTAACTGTACAGTGCTACACTGAACGGGTTGTCAGGGAGCCCTCCTTCTTCACACCATACAGGTTTGTGAGTGTCTAAGACCAGGGGTGTGGAAGTGCGTGTGGTTCCGGGAGGCCAGTTTTAAATCGCGTGCCCCACTTGCTAGTCTTTGTGTCTTAAAGAGGTAGATCCCTTCACGTTACAGAGTGAAGCACCTTAAAATACGTGTATTTGGCAACTAGTTTACTATCTTAAATTGAGCAAGGTAAGTCTCTCTCTCCAGAGGTAGAGTGTAGGCGTAAAAAGACCGCTTTCATTTCGTCCCGGGGTAGGTTGTGTCCGGGGGACCGCAGGTGTGACAGTGCACGGCAGGCCTGGCCTTGAGCGGAACAGTCTTTGATGGTGTCCCTGGGTGGAACTTCCAGTTGTGCTTTGGCTTCTCGTCTGGGCTGGGAGCCCGGTGGGGACCCGGTGGCTCTGTAGCAGCAGGCCCTGGGTGACAGTGACACCCCAGCGCCACGGTGTCCTCCCACTGTCACCGTTCCTGATCGCACCCCTGCTTGTGAGGAGGACCGGCGGGAGGGAGGGAAGGAGGGGGCTTCCTGAGCAACGGACCCGACGCTGGGGAGGCCTGGATCTGTGTTCCTGAAAGGTGGGGACTGGAGGCATCCGGAGACGTAGTTTTTCTGAAGGAAATTTTAAGTTGTCCGTGACCACTCCCGTCCACGCTCCTGTGTATCCCACACCCTGCTGGCAGCTTTGCTTTTTCCTGATCCCCACCCACCTAGGCCTTGAAGGCAGCCCCCCACCCCACCCCCGTCTCGCTGGTCTCAGAGCCCAGCGCTTAGCACAGACGTTCAAGGGGACGGAAGGGGAGGGAAGGCCATCGCCCCATGGTGCCCACTGGCACAGTGACCGACCTTTTCTTTTCCCACAGACGGGAAACCAACACATCTATCAGCCTGTGGGTAAACCAGGTAAGTGAAGACGTGACATCTGTCAAGTTTTTACAATGTGGAGGGGAGTGGGTTTTACCTGGATATCGTTTCTTAGCTTTGGAGTATCTCATGACTTTGTAACCCGTTTTCCTCTGTGGACCAAAGCAAGTATGATGTTTACCAAACTCAGCCCCTGCCTAGCATATCGGAAAACAGACCTTCCCGCCGATGCGTCAGAAACGCCTCCACGGGGTGCCCTCCAAGATTAGTGTGTGTGACAGAAGCACGAACCCGTGTTCAGTGTCTGTCTGGGCCGTGTGTTACTGTACGTCACTTACGGGGACACCTTCCCTTTCCCAGATCCCGCAGCTCCGCCAAAGAAACCGCCGCGGCCTGGAGCCCCCGGTCACCTGGGCAGCCTCGCCAGCCTCAGCAGCCCCGGGGACAGTTACAACGAGGGCGTCAAGGTGAGCGTCCGAGCCTCTCGCTCCGGGTCGGTGACCTGTGACACGAAGCAGAGTCAGTGCCGAGGACGGGACGAGCAGAGTGGCACCGCCGTGGGCCCCAGGCGTCCGTCCGGTGTGGCTCTGAACCCGTCCAGGAGGCGGGAACAAGCTTGACGGGAGCTTGTCTTTTCTGTTTTTCTCTCACGTGGTAGATTCTAGGGCCTCAGTCAGAGCTCAGCCTCCTAGGTAGTTTCCCTCTGATCAGGCAGAGTGGTTCTTTGGAATAAAGCGCTAGGATGGTTTCTGGTTTTAAAAAGTAATTAAACCAGGGTGCCTCTGGGGGAGACCTTCCGCAGGCGCCTCAGTCTCCAAGTGCTGGAAAACTGCCACCGTTTTCCAGATGGAGGCGGGACCACACGTGTAAAAGCGCGTGTGCTGCGTGGACCCAGCCCCAGGCAAGGCAGCGTGCGGCCCAGGCGCCCTCACGCGCCACCTGCCCTGCCGGCTGGGACTGGGGCCGTCGGGGTTCCCGAACCCCCCACCCCGGCTCCAGCCAGCCCCGCAGCGTCGGGCCCCGGGTCTCCCGCAAGCAGCCGTCCTCTCCCAGAGAAGCAAAGGCAAGGGTTCTCTGCCGTTCCATGAGAGAGTCGTCCTCTCAAAATGTATCCTGTTTCCCAAGTCTGCTACACCTTGTTTTCACGTTTTAGTATCTCTGTGGTCAGGTGATGCGCTGGTCCAGTTGGCAGCTTTGCTTTCCCTAGAGGAACATACAAAAGTGCCTCCTGCAGAGGACGGCATCTTAGAGTCGGGAACTGTGTTCTCCGTCAAAAGACTCTCTCACCGATACCCACCTTCACCGGGTGCCCTACCTGCATGCACGCTGTGCCAGGACCTGCCCTCACGCCAGCCTCCCTCAGGATCAGTGCTCTGATTATTGTTTCTGCTTTTCACACGAGACCACAAGCTTCACAGAGGTTAGAGGGTGTGTTCAAGGTTACAGGCTCCCCAGCCGAGCCAGCCTTTAGCCAACATGCTGATTGCCAGAGAGAACGGGTATGTTGCCATATTGGGGTCAGGAGGTAGCTGTAGGGAGAGAAGATGCCACCTGCAGACACAGGGCAGGGACCGGGGAGTGAACCCAGCCAGACCAGCCTCCCCTCTGCGGGACGCAGCCCAGGTACCGCTGGGCCCGGGGCGCCCCTGGCAGTCAGTGCTGCTCCTGGTTCGGGGCCCAGGGGCTTGGCCTCTGCGGTTTCCCGAGCTGGTGGTGGGGGCACCTCCCACGACTCTTCCAGCGCCAGCACCCCACAGGGTATTCTGATATACCAGTAGGTGGAAGTCTTCACGGAAATAGTATGCTCACTTACAATGTATTAAGCAAAGATTTTTTAAATAAGGAGCATGAAGTATTATCTTCCTTATCCACCTGTTTGGTGGGGGTTACTGAATCCAGCCTCAAAGAGCAATACTGTTTTAACACAAAAACACTCCTCTTTAGATGTAGTTCATCCAGGTAACGTTTAGCCAGACATCGGTGTCTCTTTGGTGGCTTTGTTTTGATTCTGGATTCTCTGAGGCTTTAAGCTCCCACCTGAGCCATTGGAACTGTTGATGTCTCTACAGGGTGGCACTTTATCCTAAGTACCCGCCAAGGGTCTCCCAAGTTGTCAGGCTCCAGAAAATAGGAACCCAGGAACAGATGCCTGTCCAAACGAAGCTGTTGCTTCGGGAAGGTCACTGTGCATGGTCCCTGGAAGCGCTGAGACTGTGCTTCTGTGACCTGCCTTGGGCGAAGGGCAAATACAGAACAGAAGCTCTGGATGGGTTAGCATAAAGCAGCCTTTGCCTCCGAGAGTCCAGAATGGTGGCGGTTCTTCCTGACGGAGCCCTGCCTGTGGCTGCTCTTCAGGAAACTGTGCCTTTATGTTGGTGTGGTCTGGGCGTGGCCTACGTCACAGGGCTGCACATGACTCGGCGCAGGAAGTAAGAGACGAGATGTCGTCTTTGAAGTGATGCAGTTAGGAACAACCTCCCTCTTTCTAATGCAGGGGAAACACTGTGGAGGGTTGTACCTGGAGGTTTAAGATTCTGCCTAACTCTTATACCACAGGGTACACTTGTTCCAGATGATTCTAAGGAAGAAGCAAGATAGCTACCTTTCCCCAGTTAGCTTGATCTTTTAAGTTACAATAGGATAGCCTTGGTGTAAGCTGTGTAGAAGAAAAAGCATTAAATAAAAGTTGTGACTTTCAAATAAGGGAGCCTTAAACCATAAGAATTGGCTCAAAAGAAGGGTTTGTTTTGTTTTCTTTAAAATGTATTTTTTTTATTTATTTATTTTTTTTAAGAGAGAGAGAGAGAGACAGAGGGCAAGCAGGGTGGAGGGGGCAGTGGGCAGAGACAGGAGACACAGAATCCGAAGCCGCCTCCAGGCTCTGAGCTGTCAGCACAAAGCCCAACGCAGGGCTCAAACTCACACACTGTGAGATCATGACCTGAACTGAAGTCGGACACTTGACAAACTGAGCCACCCAGGCACCCGTTTTTGTTTTTAAAATAAGCTTCTGATGTCTCTAAACGCAGCCCCAAGCCAGGGGTCTTTATTCTGGTGCTAGGGCTAACGACAAAGCCCGTTTTTTGAGGGCACCGGGGGCCGGACTTGGGGAGCGAGGTTGACAGCCTCTCCTGATGGCCCAGAAGCCCGGCGGGCGGTTCTCAGTGACAGCGAGCATATTCCGGTGCCTTTCTCTCTGAAGTCCCTAGTGCTTTGCTTCTCGCACGGCTACCAGATTGTCCCTCTCAGGCTTTGCGTGTTTTTCTCACTCACTCCGTGCAGACCAGCCTGGTGTGTGGCGGGCCTCGTGACTGAGTGTGCGGGCACCTGGCCGGCCCGCTGCTGTGCTTAGACAACCGGCAGCGAGGGCCGCGGGCAGGCTGCAGACTCGCTCCTTCCGGTTCTGCTCGTGTGTTTTTGTGGGGGTTTTGTCTGCTGCCTTTATTAATACTGTTTTTCTTTTTTCCCTTTCTCTGATAAATTTCTCTAACTTTTCCTCACCTCCCGTTCAACAATAGCCATGGAGGGTAAGCACATCGTGTCTGTGTGTCTGTCCCACTCCTTCACACCTAGCGCTCTGCATGTGACTCTAGCAGAGATCAGGAAGCCTGGGGGGGGGGGAGGGCGCACTTTTGCCGGGCTCCTCACCAAAAACAGCCTTTTACCTGCCAGAGACTGGGGCATGAGCATCTTTGCAGTGACTGACTATTCCTGTCCACATCTGTCCCATGTCCCAAAACTTATTTATTTTTTGAGAGAGAGAGAGAGAGCCCAAGGCAGGGAGGGGCAGAGAGAGAGAATCCCAAACTCGGAACAGCCAGGTCCCAGGCTCCTCGGACAGAGTCAGCCCGAGGGTGCAGAGTGGCCCCTAGAGGTGTGGACCGAGCGCTGGCCGCAGACCCAGCGGCACACAGCTGCTGTCACCTGCTGTGGTTGAGTCTTCTTAAACACACAGACTGCCGTTCCGTGCCTGCTCTTGCCAACTTGGGCCATTAAATGCCGCTGGGGACTTTCTGCAGACCCTGCGCTCGCCCGCCTTCGGTCGGAGTCCGGCTTATCCTGGGTCCCATTCGTGGTGTCTCTGTGCCCGGGCCCTGGGGTGGGCGCCTGCACATGAGCCCCTTTATGTCACCGTCACCACGCGGCCAGGTGAGGAGCTGAGGCCCCACCACCCTCGAGGGCAGCGCTGGGCTCCCGGCGGCAACACCTGCCAGCATTGGTGTCGCTTCACAGACTTGCACCTGCCGGCTCCTAACAGTCGTGCAGGGAACACGCACGTTTCCGAAGTTCGGTGGTGTGGAGACAGCCACGCTGAGCCCTAGCTCTTACTTCCTGTAGGAGTCCCCCTGACGTAGAACACTCGACCAGCTTCCTCTGAAATCCTCAGAGAGATGCCAAATACGTGAATTCTTTCTTGGCGAATGATGGTGGAGGGGCCTTGAATCACTTCTCTGGAAGAATCTGGGGCTTTTAGTATAACGTGTGTGATGCCATCTCCTTCCCTTTAACTGAGCTCAAAGTTATAAAAAAATTATTGCCTCGGACCCTTGTCACGTGGATGGGTTACTTTTCTGTCATCCTCCAAGTGAGCCGTAGCCCGGTCAGACCAAAAAACTCGGTGTGATCTGCTTTGATCTCTTTTAAAGACCACCCCCCGCCCCCCCCCCCGCCCCCGCCCAGCTGCAGGGATGTGCTGCCACCTAGTGGGGGCTGGTGAGGTGACGGCAGCTTCTGTGTTGCAGCTTCAGCCCCAGGAAATCAGCCCCCCGCCCACTGCCAACCTGGACCGGTCCAACGACAGGGTGTACGAGAACGTGACGGGCCTGGTGAAGGCTGTCATCGAAATGTCCAGCAAGATCCAGCCAGCCCCCCCGGAGGAGTACGTTCCCATGGTGAAGGTAAACCACAGTTGCGTGCCCACTCCCGCGGAAGGCGCGGGGACCCTCGGAGTCAGACCTGGTGCTTCAGGAGCCGTGTGTGAGGGTCCCGCACAGTGACCGTGCTGAGTCAGGATGAACTGTTGGTCCTGTAGTAGTTGCTGCTCACACATACGGACCAGCCTGTAGCATGAAGCGTGAAAGCAGGCGGGCCAGCGCTGTGCGCGCCTTCGGGACACGCGGCTCTGCCGTGGGAGCACCAGCTCGCGCACGCGGGAGACCGGTTGTCCTTCAGACGCTGTCCGGGGAAGGGGCCGTCCTGGAGAGGGATGTCGGGGGCTTTGGCTGTGCTGTTTCCTTCAGCTCTCTGAAGTGTGGGTGCTCTCTGAGCCTTTTCTAACGAGGGTCAGACAGAAATGAAAACGTCCTGCCACTAGCCTAGCCTCACCTTTCCAAGCTGTGTTCAGGGGCGTGGTGTCCTGGAAGGGAGTGCCAGAGGCTCTGAAAAGCGATGCCAGGCCCCCACGGGGCAGGGCACTGGGCAGGCTCAGGGGTGTCCGCAGTGCAAGGAGTGCCGTAAAGCTTGGCTCTAAGCCTGGATTTCCAAAACGTGCGCTTGAAGACGCTTCTTTTAAAATTGTGGTAAAACACGTGAAACACAAAATCTGCCTTCCTAGCCACCGCGAGGTCTACACTGGTGTTAAGTTCGTTCACACCGTTAGACAGCTGGCCTCCCAGACTCTCCTCACCTTGCACAACTGGCGGCGTCCCCGTGAACGTGGCGACCCCAGGGGCCTGGTGCCCCATCTCCCCTTTCGGGGCGGGCTTATGCCGCTGAGCACCGTGCTGTACTGGCTCGCCCACGCTTTGGCGGGCGTCAGGATGTCCTTCCTCTCCGAGGCTGGCTGATCGTCCCGCCAGGGACCACATCCTGAGCGTTCAGAGATCTGAGTGTTAGAAATTCCTGATACCTTCGGATCGGGCTCAGTATTGAGGAAAAGAAATACGGAAATGTTCGTGCGGTGTTAGAAAGGAAACAAGGCCTGTCACCGAGGGGAGGGGCGCTGCCGGCGTGAGAGTCCTTGAGTGTGCTCTGACACGGGTGTGGTCTTGTCTGCTAGGAAGTCGGCCTGGCCCTGCGGACATTACTGGCCACCGTGGACGAGACCCTTCCGGTCCTGCCAGCCAGCACTCACCGAGAGGTAGGACACAGAGCCCCCTTCCTGCGCTGGCAGTGCGGGCAGGACGCGCTCTGAGGTCGTGACCTTCCACCAGCGAGGCCCGTGGGCTGTGGCTTGCCTGCCAGGACGTGGCCGTTCACCGTGGAGGCAGCGTGGGCCGGCACCCACTGGGCTCGGTCAGATCCCGCTCCACAGCCGCTGAGGCGGGGCCCAAAAGACGGGCGGCTCGTAGGGGACGGTGGGGAGCACGGGTGCAGGGCTGGGTGAGGGCCACATCCTCCAGCGCCAGCTCGGGGAGAGGCCGGAGGACAACGGAAATGAGCCGGGAGAGGCAGCCCACCCTCCTCCCTTGAATTCTCCTGAAAAAATTAGAGTTTGCACACGGTGCCGGTTTCCCATGTAGAGTAGTGATACCGAAAAGTGCCTTTTGAGTGAAAACATGTGTTTTAAAATTTTTTTAAGGAATCACAATTCACCTAAAACCCGGTCTCTCAGCAGTAATCCTCATTTTTGCCATCTTTGGCCACTGTGCATCATGTGTTGACTAACAGATGAGCAGACACAGCTGCATCGTTTTCATAAAGCACCCAGCTGTGCCGGCCTCCAGGGTGTGCTCTGTCCTCCAGAGGGGCCCCCCGTCTCCTCCAGAGGTGGATGCCGCCCGGGCCACACGCACATGTGGCTCTGTCCCCCAGAGTCCGAGGCTGCCCCAGCCTTGCTCCCCCTTCTTACTCTATCCCCACGCCTCCCAGCTCCTGCACCTACCTTCCCACCGTCCCTAGCCCTGCAGCCCAGCAGGCTCTGTTCTCATTTGTTTTCTTAGTTTCTATTTGAAATGATGTCAAACTTAAAAGTGGTAGGAATAGTGCAGAGAATTCCCGAACATTCTCCACCTAGTCTCGCTGCCTTTTAACATTGTCTCACATCTGTGTCCTCGGTCTCTGGTTATCACCACACGGTCTCCTTCCTGTGAACCGTTTGACCCTCAGTGTTTCCATCTGTATCTCCAGTCGGGAGGCGGTTCTCACACGCTGTCGGGTTCCAGCAGCCTGGGCCGCCAGCTCCCCGCATTGTCTCAGTGCGTGGTCACACCCGGGAGTCTCACCGTCTAGTCCACAGCCAGCAGAGCTCTGACGTGACGCCCCGCGACAGTCTGTTAGCCCCCTTCCGCCTGGAGTAGGCCCTCAGACTCCGTCTTTCTGCCATCAGCGTCTTGGAAGGCTGTAGGCCAGTTACCTTGGAGAGTATTTATTCCCAGAGAGGAGTTGAGGGGTTTTGTGCGAAGACTGACGTTCCCTCCTGATGAGATCGAGGTCGAGTTCTTCTCGGGACATTGTGTCCGAGGCTCCTGGTGTCCAGGTGACGCCCGTCTTGAACTGGCACAGCCCGTATCCATGCTTCCCTTGCAAAGGGCCTCCGGTCGCCTGAGCGGAGTACCTGTGTATTCCTAGCCGGTTGGGCGCTAGCTGGCTCGTCTACCTCGTTGGGACTTTAATTGGTCGCTTCCACAACGAGCGAGAGTTTTGCCAAAAGGGGGAAAGTTCCAGTGCCAGAGGCCAGAAAGTGGTATCCTGACATAAGTGTTCTGCCAGAGCCATTTCTAACTTCTTACTTCGGCCGATAAAGCCTGAAACTGCCTCTCCGTCTGCCCTGAGGCTTCTGTGCCACTTGCTCTCGCATACACATTTTCTGTTGATTATTGCTTTTTAAAAGAAGGAGGGAAGCTTTATTTGATCTTGCTTCTGCCTTCCTCGGTCCCTCTGTCCCCTCGTGCTTCCTGAGAGAGCGGCCGGTCCTCCTGGGCCAGATTGTCCCCATTCCTTCCCTGCGGCTGCCTGGGGCCACCGGCGACCGTGCCCCCCGAGCCCCCATCCTGGCTCGTCTGCGAGGCCCCCGCGGGCTTCAGAGCCACCCTCCCTCACGTGTCTCGGGCCCACATCCTGCTCTGGTTCCTCTTCTTGGCTGCCCCGAGCGTGGCCCAAAGGTGCCGCACACCCTTGTCTTACAGAACGCTTTTTCTCCTTGGTGGCTCTCTGCCCCTTACGTGGATGCAAATATCTGATGCCTCCGGTGGGACCTCTGCCTGAGCTGTTGGATGTCTGCCTTCAGCAGGACATTCTGCTCCTGGTTTTGCTCCCAGTTGCTGGGGCCACCACGCCCTTGCCACCCCTGCCTCCGGGAACCCCCTTCTCCCCACCCACCCCCGCCCCCCCCACACACACACACACAAGCAGCCGCTCACCTGTCGGCATCACGCCGCAGGCTGGGCCTCTCCGTCCTCCCTTCCACCGCCCCCCTCCCCTCAGTTCCCACAACAGTCTCTGAGCTGCCTCCTCTGCCCGTGGCTCTCCCGCCCCTCCCTCCCACTCCCACACGGCCACCAGGGCCCTGTTGCCAGAATTCCTCTCCGGACGATGGCATTCCCCTCGCTAAAAATCTCCTAGGCCTCCCATTGTCCCAGCGGGACGGAGGTAACTTGTCACGGCTTGTGAGGGAGCCAGCCTCCTTGTACAGTCATTCTCTGTGAAGTCTCCTGACCCTCCCAGAACGAATGGATTGTGTCTTTCCATTGTGGATTCATCCCAGCGTATTGGAGGTAGTTGTGCGCAGGCTTCTCCGCACCAGACTGCGTGCACAAGTGTGTCTGTTTCCTTCCTTAATCCACACCACCAAGTGCCTCGTACAGGTGTGCGCAGTAATCAGTAAGGGACCGAGCAGTAAATCGTCACCGGCTGAATAAGCAGACGGGGAGGGAGAGACACCCGAGCAGAGCATCCCGATCCCTGAGGCGGCTTCTTCCGCCACTGCTGCCCCCGCTCCAGCCTCTCATCAGTTTGGGAGGGCCGCGGTGGGACCGGGGTGTCCTTCTCACACAGCAGAGGCAGGTCCTGAGCCATGGTTGGTCGTGTAGGAAGAGCACTAGACTGCGAGTCCACACCCAGGTTTCTGTCTGGAACCGGAAGCCAGGCAGCTGGGCAACCTCAGCGCGTCTCCTTGTGTCTCGGTTGCCTGCTCCGACGGGAGGGCGCCAGGCTGGGGGCCTCCGAGGTTCCGTCAGAACCTGTGATTCCTTTAAGAAGCCAGAGTCCTGCCAGTCACTGAGATTCATGGTCGCTGAGGGCTTTTGTGGAAAGAGGCTGCTGGTGCACACGGGCGCGTGCATACTCTGTCGGCCGGTTTCCTAGAGGAGGCGCTGATCTTACCCCGTCTACGTCAGGCAGGTTCGTTTACGGGGAAGAGCGTTTCTTCTCCGGAGGCGCCCAAGGCAGGTGCATAAGGGTTGCCTGAGCGGAGCGCGGAACGTGCCCGTCCTGACGCCTCTCTTGTGCTTCCAGATCGAGATGGCCCAGAAGCTGTTGAACTCCGACCTGGGTGAGCTCATCAACAAGATGAAGCTGGCCCAGCGGTGCGCCATGACCAGCCTACAGCAGGACCACAAGAAGCAGATGCTGACCGCCGCCCACGCCCTGGCCGTGGACGCCAAGAACTTACTCGACGTCATCGACCAGGCCAGACTGAGGGCACTCGGACACGCGAGGCCGCGCTGAGGGGCCCCCCCAGGCCTCGGGGAGGACGCGCCCCGGCGCCCCGCCAGCAGCGGGGGGCTCCCCCGCGCCTGGGGCTGTGACTGACGGCCGGTTCAGAACCTCTCTCGGACAAATTTAACCGCATTTGATTTGAGTTCGTTGTTTGGTTTTGTTTTTCTTTAATCATGGTGTTCGGAAAAGTCCAGGATCCAAGATGTGGCATTTTTCTGAGAATGAAAATTGTTCGTGAGAAGCTTTCAAGAATCACCAAGAACAGATGACCATCCCACGAGGGCGTGTTTCTGTGGAAACGGCCCAGGCGGGGCCGTGCGTGCGGGGCCTGAGCCAGCTCAGCTGCGCACAGGCAGAGGAGACCGGGCGGAGAATTCCGGGAAACCCGAGGGGCTGAGAACTCTTCTGCGCGTGCAGAGTGGCCAGCCAGAGCGGAGTTTCTGCTGTGAGGACGCCCTGCCGTCGCAATACGCAAGCAGCGCTCTAAGAGAACATCAGAGCTCTATTTTGGAGACTTGGGTCATTTCAGAAACAAACAGAACAACAGCCACCCTGCTGTCCTCCCCGCCTTTTACTTCCCTGTTGGATATGTGAAGATTCGGTTGGAAGCTAGCTGCAGACCACACTAAAAACTTTTGTCTTTTTTCACCAGAATAATGTGCCAGTTTTTTGTAGCAACGTTATTTCTCTTGGAAGCAGAAATGCTTTGCACCAGAGCACCTCCAAAGTGCATTGAGAAGAAGTTCTGGAACCATCCCTGTTTTCCATTTTTATATAATTTATAAAGAAAGACGAAAGCCATGTTGACTATCTTGCAGCCACTGGAGCTGACTAACCCTTCCTTGTGTCTGTCTTCCCAGGAGGCGAGTAAGCAAAGCAGAGAGAGTTGGTTTTCTTTCGATGTCCAGTTACACCATCCATTCTGTTAAGTAATTTTGAAGAGTATACCCTCCCTTTAGTTTGTCGGGGGATATAAATTATTCTCAGGAAGAATATAATGAACTGTACAGTTACTTTGACCTATTAAAAAGGTGTTACCAGTAAAGTTGTCGGTGTAGTAGCCTTTCTTCGGGTTCCTTCAGACCCTTTAAAAGTTTTCAGGCGACTTGTCAGGTAACATACAGGAAAGCTCTCGACAATTACTGGTCCTTCTTTCCCTGTCTTCTGGATAGGTCAAGGATTTTAGCACAGGAGGATGGCCGCACACAAATCAGGCCTTTCTTTCCATCTCTGCCTATCACATGCAAAGTCGAGAGAGGAGTGATGCCCATCTGGGAGCCGTTGCCTCTGTGGCCTTGACGTCCTCACGGGCGTCGCGGCCTCGAGGACACAGCTGTGACCGGCTCTGTCACTAGGGAAATGGTCAGCACGCGGTCCCCCAGACCCGCCCCAGTCTTGCCAGAACCTCTGAGCCGGAGCAAACGGCACTGGGCTCTGCAGACGGGGAAGAGCCAGGAGCCGAGCTCCCGAGTGGAGGGAGTGAGGGGATGTTCCCAGGTACATACATATTCCCATGGCTGCAGCGGCCGCTCCTTCTCTGGGCCCAGGACACCGACTTCCTGGGAGGAAAAGGCCAGGGGGTGTCACCCTGAGTTTCCCTCACTGTCCTGCTTCCTCCTCGCTGCAGTGGTGGCCATGAGGTCGACGCCCCCACATACGTCACGGCGGGGGGGGGGGGGCCTGCCGTCGGGCCAGTGTCCCCGGGGAAGGGGGCCCAGTCGCCACCAGAAGCACTGCCTCACGGCGAGAGTCGCTTGAAATCGTACCCTTTCCTCCCGGTGTGTCTCGCCCTCTGGCGCGAACAACTGAGGTAGGTCTCGCGCATCCTGTGAGGCAAAGAAAGAAACGCATTTTGGTCGCGGGAACGGGCGAACACAGGCCGGACGGCGTGGTGTCCGCACGGGAGCTGGCCTGTGGTGTGCTGGCGCAGGGGACCGCTCGGGGACTCAGCTGTGTTACCCTGCGGGGGACCCCGACCTCACGTGAAAGGCGGTCCGCGCCGGGCAGGAGGAGCACGACAGACGGTGAACGTCCCCTGCTCACAACCTCACGTCTGGGTTCCTCCAGCTGTTTTGTATTTAACAGGAGCTTAGTTAGGGAGTACTTCACATAGAGAGAGGGCACACACACGGTGCTCGCTGAGCTTGTCACGAAGCAACACAGACTTGTAACTGACGCCCGATACTCACACAGCGTAGCGCTTACGGCACCCCAGTCCCCGCTTCGCGGGAAGGTGGCAGCCGCCCGATTGTCCTCTGTCCATCCAGACGGCAGGAACCTGTGCGGGAGACCATTGGGGGGCCGCCTTCTCCGGGCCTGCACAGAGTAGGGGACACGCTGCCATCCCTCGGGAGGCCCCCTCTCCACTTGGCCGCCAGTCCCCATCCTGCCCCGGGCGGTGGCCCCACCTCCAGCACTAACCCTCTACCCGCTTCTAGGAAGGCGCCGTCTGCACTCTGGCTCCTCACTCGGTGACATCTCGGACTGTCCGTGCTGCGTGCGCATCCCGTGCGGCCCGCGGCCCGGCTGCTGCAGCCCGTTCACCCGTGCACCTGCTGCATCGTTACCGACACTGCCGCAGGCGTGTACGTGCACGTAACACATTCCCGTTTCTCGTGACAAACAGCCGTTGGTGCTGTTTCTGGAACTTACGGTAAGTGTATGTTCGACTTCCTTAGAGACCGCCAAACCATCTTCGCATGTGGTTGTGCCGCATCGCACCTTGACCAGCAGTGTCTGAGCCTCCCCGGTGCCCATTCCCGTTGGTCCTGTCATTTCAGACTTGGTGGCAGTGTGCGTCTCTGATGTTAAGCATCTTTCTCTATGCTAACCGTTCCTTACCTCTTCTGTGAAGTGTCTGCACAAATATGTTGCTTTTTTTGCAACGGGACTGGTGAGCATTTATTTATGAGTGCCAGAGCCTCCTTATGTGTCCTGGGTGCTCGTCTCGTCACATTCCCGCTCCGGAGTGGAGCCGTTCATCCTCGTACGTCGATTCTCCCTCAGAATCTCCAGGCATCTTCCCACACCTTGATTTCAGACTTCCGGCCTCCAGAACTGGGGGAGAGGAAGTTTCTGTTGCTTTAAGCCTCCGATTAGCAGCCCCAGGACACTAGTCCTGCCTCCGAGTACTTCAGCGTGCGTCTCCTGAGAGCAGGGACACTTACACACACGACACGGCATCACACTCCGAAGACTTCACGTTGTCTAATGTACGAGCCGCCAGTAATGTGCTTTACATCATTTTCCCCCAAATCCAAAACCCAGTCCCGGGTCATGCCTTCATTTGGTTGTCCTGGTGTTTCGGTGGTGCTGGTTTCCAGGAATTTTGCAAGCTCTTTGTCAAACACCGCCGTTATTAGAAATTAAGTTATATACACCTATAACTAATTAAATTATATTGGAAACAAAGGTAACAAGGGCACAGAGCTCAGCGCTTCCTCATTACTACATCGTGCTGTTACCTAAGCTCTCGGGCTGTGTATGTCGATTGTGGCTGTTTGACCACACGCTGTGTGACCGTGTGTTCTGCGCGTCCCTGCCCACGTCTGCGTTCGGTGACCTCACCTCGGCAGCTTGAAATTAGCCAGGGCGGGAGTATCTCTACCGTGGAAATCGGCAGACACTACAACTCTTCCTCTGGGAACCTGTTGTCCACCGTTCGTGGCACACGGCTACCCTCTAGTTCCCTTTGTCTTTCGTGACTGTATTTTTTAAGAATGCAGGCCAGTTTGGGACAGTGACCCTGTTTCGGCTTGCCTGAAGGCTCCGCGTTACCAGATTCAGGCCGGCCAGCATGTTCCGTATGTGGCAGCGTGAGCCCCGTGGTTCCGCTTACTCATTCTTTCTCCCAGCTTTGGGGGTGACGTGGCCCGCGGTGGTGCTGAGTGGACCGAAAAGCTTGACTGGTGCCCCGACACCCTGTGCGTCTGAATGTGCTCTGGAGACGACAAGGCGGCCCAGTGGGGATCCAGCTGGACTTGCTTTCTATCTGTCACTAAGGCAGTGACTTTGCAGAAGGGAATCCCCCCCCCCCCCACACACACACACACACCCTCACTGCTGCCAGGACTTGGTGAATGTTTATATGGATCTGGAGTAAAAAAGGCGGGGCGGGGGGACGCCTGGGGGTCAGTCGGTTAAGTGTCCCACTCTTGATTGCCACCCGGGCCACGATCTCATGATTTGTGAGATCGAGCCCCGCGTCGGCTCCGTGCTGACAGTGCGGAGCCTGCTTGGGATTCTCTGCCTCCCTCTCTGCCCCTCCCCTCCCTCTCAAAATAAAGAAATAAACTGAAAAAATAAAATGGACCGGGTAGCGCTGGCTTTCAGTTTTGCCCTGCGTTACACGTTTTCCTGGGTGGCCTGGGGCCGGGCACCTGGGCGGTTTTCTCGTGGGCATTTCTGTAACTCGGCGTTGCTCCCCCACCCCCCAGACGGTGTGGGCACTCACGGCCACCGCACAGCCTCACAGGTGCGCCCCCACTTACCCGGGTGTGGGGCACCCTCGTCAGCCCGGTCGTTGTTGGACACGGGCCTCTGGAGACACTGCCAGGACACAGGTCAAGGTCAGGGCCCAGGTGCCGGAGAAGGCCCAGCGCCTGCGAGTCCACAGAAACGGACCGAGAACGACAGCTCATCCCCACGCAAGCAGCCCGTAACCACTGTCACCGTGGGACTTCAGTACCCACGTGGGATCGGCACAGAATTTAACTGACTTTCTGGAAAACGGGGGTGCGCATCGGGGTGAGGGAAAATCCTACTTTCCAGGCAGGGTCTGCAGGAGGCAGGGGGCTGCACACCCTCCTATGGTGAACCCCATTGTGTCGGCCTCTCTGTCCCCTCCTCTGTGACACACAGCCATGTGTGAACCTCCCTGCGTCCTGACAAGGGCCCACGTATTCGTGCATGTGCGTGTAGTTACAGAAGCAGGCCTAAAGGGCCGTGTTAGCTAACACTTTCATTTGGTTCTTTTTGTTTTTAGTATTTTTAACATTTATTTATCTTTT